TCCCAGTCACGCAGAGATGCTAGTCCCATTTGCAGACAAGGCAGCCAGTGGGAAGAGGAGGCTCAGGGCTTATGGAACCCACCACACTTCCCCCTCCACAGTACCTCTCTCCCTATTCGCCTACTTCCTTTTTTTTTTTTTTTTTTTTTTTTTTTGAGATGAAGTCTCACCCTGTCACCCAGGCTGGAGTGTGCAGTGACACCGTCTTGGCTCACTGAAACCTCTGCCTCCCACATCCAAGCAATTCTCCTGCCTCAGCCTCCCAAATAGCTGGGTTACAGGTGCCCACCACAATGCCCGGCTAATTTTGTATTTTTGGTAGAGACTGGGTTTCACCATGTTGGTCAGGCTGGTCTCAAACTCCTGAACTCCAAGGATCTGCCCACCTTGGCTTCCCAAAGTGCTGGGATTCCAGGTGTGAGCTACCACGCCAAGCCACTTTCTTTTACCCTCTTTCCCTCTCCCCTAGGAACACCTCCCCGCCCCCCAACCCCCACACACACCATTGCTGCTATCCATTCAGTCTTTGCCAGAGCAGGGCCAGTGACAGGAAGTCACCCCTACTTGCCCTTGACTAACATCAGCCAAAGCTAATCCTTCTGCCCCAGATGCGGCTGATCACTACTGAGGACCAAAAGGAACAGAAGGAGCCAGCCGCCTCCCCACCTCTCCCGAAGCTCTGACTCCCTATCCTCCTTCTCCTCTCCCACAACCCTCATTCTCATCTTCCTGCCTGCCCTAGGCGCAGAGTCCCCTCGAGTCCACACTCACCTCTAACGCGGCCCGTATTTTTGGATAAGAAAAAGAAAGTCCAGAAAGGAGAAAGCGCGTGCCCAAGACTGCATTGATGTGTGTGCAGCAAGCCTTTTCATAGTGCTAACTGCTAGGCCGGGTGCCGGGGAGATTGGCCTAGTGGGGTGTTACCAGAGCGCGCATTTTCCAAGGAGGTGCCTAGGCTCAGGCCCGAAGAAATGAAAGCGTGGGTAGGGGATCACTTGCAGGAGTGGTGAAGCAAGGCCTGGTTTGAGGGTTTGGTTTTTTTTGTTTTTTTTTTTTTTTTTCAGTTTAAAGCAGGCACTGCCTGATGTAAGCATTTTCACCAGGGATGCTGGTTCTTGTGATTAAAATCCTTGTGCCTGCTCTCTCCATAGCAACTCTCTGCCACATCAAGCTGTCTGGGAAACTGACCTAGTCACCAGAAAGTGGCATGCTGAGCCAAAGATCACAGGGACTACACCAAGGGACCTGGACTGGGTGCCTGAGCTGGGCCCACAAATGGGGTCAAAGCCAGGGACCACCGCCAGCAACCACCAGCAGCTTCAGACTTGCCCACCACTGGCTCCAGAGACGATGTCTCCTCTCTGACCCAGGGCGTGGCTTCAGAGCTCTGCGGGAAGAGGAATGGCTCAGTGGGCGTTGATGAGTGGGTGAGGAGCTGCTCTCTTGGCTGGCCTGGACTCATCTCCCTGCTCCAGGCAGGCACCCTCCCAGTTCCCAGATCCCTTCTGAGATGGGAAATGAGCACACTCACCACAGGAAAAGCCCAGACGGTGTTTCTGAAAGTGGCCTCTGGGACTGCCTGCCAGTCAAATTCCCTGGGACGCATGCTTAAGCTGCAGATTCCCCCTGCATTCTACTTCTGGCGTTGAGAATGATACCCATAGGGCCTCTTGGCTTTTCCTTTGCCAGTCTCTTCTCCACGCAGACCTGTCCTGCTCATGTCCCTGTCAGTTCTGTCATTCCTGCACCCCAGTGCCCAACGGAGAAAGTGATTAAGAAAACGCCTGCCAAATGCATGCATGTGTGTCACTGAGAGAAGGTAATCTGGTTCAGTTTCTAATCAAAGGCATTTGAGCAAGTCTCCCTCTGTGCCTCAGTTTCCCTTTGGAAAAATGAGCTGACACCAGCTCTGCCCACCCTCTAACTCCTCCAAAGGCTACAAGTGAAGAAAGCTAATGAGAAATGTGGCAAAATGTTAACAGCGGGAATTCAGATAAGGCTTCAGGAGTTCTCTGCATGATTCTTACAACTTTTCTATAAGTTTTAAATCAAGGTAAAAAAAAAAAAAAAAACCTTAAAGATGAAAAGTAACAACAGTGCTGGCCTGATGGCACTCATCTGTAGTGCCAGCTACTCAGGAGGCTGAGGCACGAGGATCACTTGAGCCCAGGAGTTGGAGGCTCAATGTGTTATGAGTGTGCCTATGACTAGCCACTGTACTCCAGCCTAGGTGACAAGGCAAGACCCCAGCTCTTAAAAAAAAAAAAAAAAGGAAAAACCAAAAAGAAGATGATTCACACTTTTTGGTAGGCACGAGAAATCACCCTAAGAATTAAGTGTTCTTTAGTGAGTCATTTGAAATGTGGGTAGATACTGTTTGCATCAGCAGCAGTAATTTCTAAACTGTCTTCCTCAGGTGGGGGCCCACATCCCAGCCAGCATCTCTCTTTCCACCTAGTCCCACCTCGCTCCTTGCCACCACAGCCCTGGAGGAGGGCATCATAGTCCTGGCTCAGCCACCTTCCCTGCCAGGCACCTGGCGCTTGCAGGCACCCAGTGTAGCAGGTGCTCCTGGCTTCAGCCGCCCTTCTGTACTGGTGAGAAAACCGAGGCCTCCAGGGGTTGCAAGACGGGCCCAAGTTTGCACAACTGGATGGCGGCTGAGCTAGAGTTTGAACCCAGTCTGACCTCTAAGCCATTCTCTTAACCACTAGGCTATAAAGATGCCACCCTCGCCTGCCACACACCTGACAAGGTGTGGGACAGTTCAACACCTGCTCCTCTTCTTGGTCTTTGGAAGCAATGACGGCAACCTCTCCTGAGCACGTCTCAGGGACTGGTCCCCCCATGGCACTGCCCGTGTCTTGACATCAGCTGGTTCACTATGGGCACAGTGGGAATGAATGCAGAGCCCCTGGACTGCCCCTAAACATGAGGACCCAGAGGCCTGGACTGCCGCGTGGCTGTCACTCAGGGCTCCAGAGCACTGAAAGGCAGCTCTCCACTCTGGCACTGGCCCTGTCCCATGCCACCAGGGACTGGCAGTGGGGGCAGCCTCAGGGCTGAGCGACAGAAGGAAAGCTTGTGTTACATGTGACCTGGCACCTTATGAGTTGTGGCTTGAAACAAAACCCAAACCAAAGTGATCAGTCACCTGTGGAGGCTGGAGTGGGGAAGCAGGAAGGCAGGCTTCTGGCTTCCAGAATGCACTGAGCCAGAATTGGGGGGCTTTGCTTGGCCTGCAACTGAGGGCAGTTCAGAGAACATGTGCTGATGCCTATCATGGCCAGGTCCCGGGTCCAGTGCTGGGGACCCAGAGTCCCTGCCTGCCAGATCTGAGGAGTCCTCGGGGACAATGAGCAGGAAGACAAGGAGCACAAGTCAGACTAAGGGAGGCTGGCATAACTGCCCTCACATGGGGAAGGCTTTTTCTGGAGTCTGGACTTGAGCTGAGCAGGAAGTGACGTGGACAATCACTGCTGCCATTTCCATTCAGATGGCAGCTCCTTACTGACAGATGGCCTCTCTGTCACTCCTCAGGGCAAGGTATGGGGCTGATTTCTCTTTGGGCCCCCATGTGCAGGAGCTCAGCAAGAAGCGGTTTATGATCTTTAAGGAGTAAGGGGGAGGTCAGACTCGAGCAGCCCCAAAGGAGGTACGGGCCTTGACCTGGTGGCTCCTGAGCTTCTCCTCGTGCTTCCAAGCCCTTCTCCTCCAGGAAACCTTCCCTGATCTTCCCAGCTGGGGTACCTCGATGCTCCGGGACTGAGGAGTCCCTAATGTTTTCATGCTACTCAGAGCTGCAACACCCTAAGTACCATCTCTGTTGCTTGACTCGTGAGTGTCCAGAGGATGGAAATGAACAGATCTTGAGCACCTGCTGCATGCCTTGCCTTGTGCTGAGTGCCTTTGGTCACCTCCACACGGCTGAATGTACTGCGTCCAGCCAGGGGCTGGGAATTAATGGGAGGGGCAGGGGCATCTGAAGGGCCATGAGACCAAGGCAGGACTTAGTACAGGTTCTGAGGCCTTGAGCACTGCTGAATGGGGTGTGAGAGGTTCTCTCTTGGGGCTCCCAGCTTTGGGTCCTGAGATGGTGCTGCACAGCCTTCCACACTGTCAAGGCTCCATGTGCATGGCTCAGCAAGAACACAATTCCTACCATGCCTCAGGTGTTCCAAAGCCGAGGCACACCCGCGACCTACCTTATCTAAGTCCCTAGCAGCCCTGGGTGGGAGGCAGCTTGATGTGCCACCCCCTTAAACTGATAGAGTACCCAGGTGTCCCCAGCTTAGAAGTGGCAGAGCAGGCAGGAGCACCAGAGCTTTCGGTCTTTTTCTAAGGCAAGGTATCCCTCTACCTTTCCAAAAAGGACAGACTCTTGGCTCCCTCTGCCCCCATCAAAACAATCCAGCCACAGAGCTGGTGCACTGCTGATCCCGGCGATAACACCCAGTGACATCTGATTCGGCGCCTTCTGTCTGAGTGTGATCAGCCGCCACTGCATGGGCCTCTCTAAGATTGTCCTTTACCCAGCACATGTCCATCACGGGCCCCAGATCCATCGAGGGGATCCTCTGGGCAAGCCACCCTCTGGATCTCAGTTTCCTCATCTATAAAATGGACACAGGGAGACGCAGGGATGTGAGATTCCCTGATTCTTACAGGCCTACAGTCAACTCAGAGCATCATGGCCCTTAGCCATTTACTAGCAACCAAACTGCGTCTTTCCTAAAGGGCAGGGCAGGGGGCTGAGGCCGGCGAAAGGTACACTTGCCTCAGTAGGGCATGCTGGCCTCCTCTGTCTGTCAGTCTCTTCACTCACAGCGAAAACCAGAAACCCACTGCCTCCCCAGGGGAACCCAGAGAGAGATGCTTGGAGCCAGTAAGGGCTATGGATGGGGAAACTGAGGCCCTGACTTGTCCCCAGCTGGGCACGGACTGGGTGTCCCCCGCTGCCTCCCCGCAGGGCCGCGTCCGTGGCAACTCGACAGCCCTACCTGGCACAGGTGCCCGGCTCGTGGGGCGGGTGGAGGGTCGGGCGGTCGCGGGGCGCGGACTCCCTCGGGTGGGCAGCGCCTGGCCGGGCCGGGCTGGGGAGGCAGGCGCGGGGCGCGGGGCGCGGGGCGCAGCGGGGAGCGCGCAGCTAGGCGAGGAGGCGCGGACTGGGCTCCGCCCGCAGGAGAACAAACAGGTTTTCCCTGGCCGCCCGGAGCCTCGCCCCTCGCCCCTCCCCTCGGCCGGCCCCTTCCTCTGCCCCTCCTGGGGTAGGTAGAGGCGCCTGGCACATTCCGCACATTCTCCCGCCAGCGTCCTCCGCCCGCCCGCCCCTTCTTGGCCCCGCCCCGCGGGGCTGCTGGAGAAATCAAGTCCGGGGCTCCCCTCGCCGAGCATGGGGCGAGCTCCAGAAGGCTCTGCGGTGATGGAAGACTTCCAGGCAAATTCCTCCGGGCCGGTGGCCCCCAGACCAGGAAGCCTCCGCCACGTGAAGGGCCCCCGCTCCTAGTTGCGCGATCTGGCCCCGGCACAGGGCCAACGACTTCCACAGATGCTGTCGGGTTAATTCAATCGAGAACTACTATTCCTAGATCCATTTTACAGATGGAGATCCCAGACAGGGGCGGGGAGGGGGGCGGAGGGCTGGCGGCTGAGATCATCCAGGAAGTACTGGAGGCAGGAAAGGAGAATGAGGGAGCCGCTCACTGTGGAAGGCCATCGTATGAGGGACCCGGGCTCGCAAGGCACAGCCAACGGGGCTGCCTCCCATGCTGGGCAACGAGATAAGTCCAGACCCCCAGAGCCAATGCGGTTCGATATACCTGAGTCGCGCGTTGGTGCTCAGGCAGTTCTTACTGCGCACAAGGCCCTGAGCTGGGCTAGGATGGAGACAGCATGGACGAGAAACCCCTCACCCCACGGCCTCCCAGGTAGGGAGACAATTAAGCTAGCCCCAGAAATGTCATGGAGTTGGCCAGGAGCTGGCCTATCAGGATGATAGGCTCAAAGGAATGAACCAGCGGCTTCTCCTTCATCAAGGCCTGCCAGTGTGATTTTCCCATGGGCCTCCGGATCACCCACTTCTCCCTGTGCCTGCTGCCACCACCCTCGTCCAGACCTGGCCTGGAAGACCAGCCTTGTTGCTGGCGTCCCCTACCTCTGCCCTTGCCTTCCTTCCCCTCAGTCTCTACACTGAGGTCAGGTTAATAGTTCACATGTGCAGCTCCTCTAAGGCTTCCCATTGCTCTCAAGGTAAAAGCCAGACTCCTCAAGATGACCTATCGCTGCAAGTCCAGCCACTCTTCCCTTTGTTCGCTACCTCACAGCCACACTGGCCTTTTCCCATTGTCTTCTGAATACATCACATGGCCCTCACCTTGGGGTGTTTGCTCCTGCTCCCTGGACTCCCTAGAATGCTCTTCATCCCTCTTGGGCTAGTGAGCTCTTAGTCATTCTTTAAGCCTCCACCCAGTGTCCGGAAAGCCTCCCCTGCCTGCCACCCAGTCGAGCTGATCACTTCCTTCTGTGCACCCCTCCAGTTGCATCAGATGACATCAATCCAGCATAGTGGCTGTCACCCTTTATTGTTCTAGAGTCTGAGCTCTGGGAGGGCAGGGCCCCTTCTGATTCATCACTGGGTCACAGAGACCAGCACAGGACATCTGAAGAATTTGCAGAAGGAAGTGATGGAGGGCTGAGTAACACTGTGGAAACTGTCCTTATCCTTTTCTTCTTGGGGTTCATTAGACAGGGAGAAGGTGACCTTGCGTGTGCTTGGGGGGTTGTTCATGTCTGTCTCTTGCCAACAAACATTTTTCTGCTTCCAATATTGTATGCCCCTGTCTGGTGGCCAGCAACTAACACCTCCCCTCCCCCACTGTGGCTACTGGTGGCCATGGATTTGGCTTGCCATCTTACCTCCTAAACATGCTTACTGTTTGACTTAGACCGTGTCATACTCTTTGTCTGGGCCCCAGTCTTCTTCAAGAGTCCCTAACTTGAAGTGGTAGAAGGTAGAGGACATCTTGATGGGTGAGATGTATGGAAAGGAAGAAGGCAAAGGCAAATTGTTCCAGAGCCGAGTGGGGGATGGGGTCCCAGCTGAAGATCATGAGCAAACGTGTTGTCCAAGGGCATGGCCAGCCACTGAGCACTGCCTTAGGCTGGGCCGCCCCAGGGCCTCAAGCGCTTCCCATGTCCCAGGTGACTCAGTCCTTGCCCAGGCCAGATTTGTCACGACTGCTCCAGCCAAAGAGACCAGCCTTCCCTGAGCCCCTCCCTCCCTGCCAGGCTGCCAGGCCCTGCAGCTGATCTTGCCTGCAAACGGGTTTGACTCGAACGGTGACTGCCCTGCCCTGCCCTGCCCACCTGTCCACTGCCCCAACAGCCTTCCACCTCCACCCCTGCCAGGCACCTCCAGTCACCTCAGCCAGGCTTTAGGTGCCTGCTGGTTTCTTCAGCCTTGTCAACACCAGACATGCCCAAATGACATGTACTCAGATAGACCCAGTGCTCAAACACCACCAGGACCCTGCACAAGACGCTCCATTTGTTTAGAACATTTCCTCCCTAGGGACACCAGATGGGCTCCACTCACTCTCAGCTGTAACATTATCTCCTTCATGAACCTTTCCTTAGACCTCCCTCAAGTTCTAGGCCAAGGCTGTGGTGGCTGATGGCTGCCTCCAGACTGGGCTCTGTCCCTGTCTGGGCTGAGCTCACTTTATCTTTTCCTTTTCACATCTCCTCTTGCACCTTAACCCCCAGCTCCAGCTCCAAGACAGACTACCTCCCACCTCCTGGGTATGGCAGTGCCACCTCCAGGGGACAGGACAGTCTCTTCCCACCAACAAGGAGGCCCTCAGCAAGGCTCTAAGTGAGAGGTGGGGCTTGAGGGGAACCCAGGCTGGGCTGTCTGGGCAGGCAAGAGGCTGAAAGGTTGAGGCACGGAGTGGCAGGTGATGAGCCCTGTGCTGGGGAAGCCATAGCTCACGAGCAGGCAGTGGAGGCAGCTTCTCTGGGAGGCTCATCAAAGCAATAAGATGGTAGCAGGACAGGTGGCTGCCAGGGAAAGAACCGGCGAGCAGCACTCCTCCGTTTCAGGGGAGGCCCCATTCTGTCTCCAGGGCTGGGAACAGAACTCAAGCAAGGTAATCTGGCCCGAGTTCCCAGGCCAGGAGCTGGGCATGGCGGCTCATGCCTGTAATCGCAGCATTTTGGAAGGCCAAGGAGAGAGGACCGCTTGAGCTCAAGAGTTCAAGACCAGCCTGGGCAATATGGCAAGACCCCCATCTCTACAAAAAATACAGAAAACAGAGTTCCAGGCTAGAGTGGGGAAAGAGGGGTTGGGCCCTGAAAGCTGTCAGGTCCCAAAGCTGACCCAGGCAGTGTCTTCAGCTAGAGGGGACTGAAGACAGGCAACCAGCCTCAACCCTTCGGTAGTACAAATGGGCAAACAGAGGCCCACAGAGGGACGGGTTACTGCCAGGATTGCACAGCTAGTCTGAGGCAGAGCGGGGCCTAGAACTGGGGGATGCAGTTGCTCTGGCAGTCCCTGCCCAGCTGGAGAGAAGCTGGGGTGCTCAGGTTCACGCGTGGGGAGGGCTGGGGTCCTGCTTGGGCCCTAATCCCCTCCTTGCCAGGGCCCACCCTGCCACCTCATCCTCCCAAGCTCTTCATCTGGTTTACACTTGCTGGGTGACTCTGCCTACACCAAGCAGGGTGGATGCCCTGGAGGCAGGGGCCCCAGGTGTGACTGCAGGTAGGACGGGCCCTGTGAAGCCTCAAACCTGTGAGGCTAGGCCTTTGTGTTTGTAACCAGCTCTCCTGCTCAGAGCTGGCACAGCCTCTCAGCATATGGAGTAACTGTCTCTCTCCCCCAGTTTCCCACTTGCACTCCAAGCTAAGGGGTTATGGTTCCCCTCTCTGGCGCACACACACATTCTTTTTTTTTTTTTTTTGAAATGGAGTCTCGCTCTGTTGCCCAGGCTGGAGTGCAGTGGCGTGATATTGGCTCACTACAACCTCCGCCTCCCAGGTTCAAGTGATTCTTCTGCCTCAGTCTCCCGAGTAGCTGGGACTACAGGCACATGCCACCACGCCCAGCTAATTTTTGTATTTTTAGTAAAGATGGGGTTTCACCATTGGTCAGGCTGGTTGTGAAGTCCTGACCACGTGATCCACCCGCCTTGGCCTCCCAAAGCACTGGGATTACAGGTGTGAGCCACCACGCCCGGCTACACACACATTCTTATTTATCCCACTGCACTGCCACCCCCACCGTGGCCAGAGACCAGTCAGACCCTATCCTGGCCTGTAGTGGTTCCCAGTCTGAGGGAGGAGGCAGCCCACTTCTACTCCAAGGGACAGCATCCACGCCTGGGGACTGTTTGCTGTATTAACAGTGGCCTCATTGGGAGCAGTGCCCCTGTCATAAAGCGAGGAGCCGGCTGGTCTGACATCTGCCACTCGCGTGACCTGGATCGCCACTGCTTCAAATGAGCCCAGGAAACACACAGCCATCAGTCTCACGCTGAAGCAGCCCCAGGCCAGGCCTCCTGAGCACGAGTGCACGAGTCGAGCCAAGGCCTCGCTGGCAGATAATCCCTGCATGCCCTGAAGAATGGCTTTCTGCTGCTTTAAGAATCATCCACAGATCGGAAAAAGAATGTTCTAATTGGAAAACCTCCCCGCCATGGTTTTCCGGAGTTTTAGTACAGTTGGCCGGCAGGGAGACTCCTGGGATAAGGAGGAAGGGAAGTCATGAGGAGGAGACAGTGGGCTCCCTGCCCAGCGCCCCCTCATCCCCTCAAGCTCAGCTCAGCCACTGCCGGCAAAGAGGCCATGATGAGGGCCCCCGTGGTCCTCAGCCTGGAGACTATGGAGGCTGTCTAGCCTCAGCTGGGAGCTCCTCCCCCTGAGCTGGACCCAACCCCGCCCTGCTAGAGGCCCTGCTGCTGCCCCAGAAGCAGCCCAGGCTCCTAGGCTCTCTGGCAGGACTGATGCTACTAGGCACTGCAAGCGTAGGCCTGGAAGAGGAAAGACCTGGAAGCTGCGCATGCTCAAGAAATGGGAAGGCCAGAGTCAGTGTTGGGGTCTGTGAGCACGACCCAGACCCGTC